CGTGAAGTACGTCCGGCCCTTTATTAGAGAGTTAGGGAAGGGTTGAGGATGCCTATTACTTGTATCATGAAAGGATTGATTTTGTTGCATTGATTTGCTCATTTTTCTTCCGTGCTTATCTCCATGCAGCTTTTGCCCCGAATGATACGTCAGAACAGATTGCTTTCGGGCGTTCAGCTTCAGGCTATGGTTGACTAGACTGCGAAGTTTTTTCACATTGTACTTACTGAAAAGCATTAGTGTCATATAGAAGAAAAAGGTCCCTTTGCCTCACTTCACCTACAAAGTGCGTTTTATCTATATGGTATCCGACATGACGTAGATAGCGAGCGTGCACTCCAACATTGATCGAGAAGAATCCATCCTCGCTTCATCCCTTCATTAGTCATTTCGATGAATTTAGTCTGAGTCGTTGCTCCCATCAATCTTCGCAATATTCCTTTATCTCCATTCCACTTTTTTTTCATGTGGTTTTTCTTTTCTTGGACAAGGATATGTCATCGAAGTGCATTTTCATTTTGGAATTTTCGATTGTGCATGATCTGCCTGCTCTGTCGTTTAATTAAAGCTTGCTGCTCACGTTTCTGGAATCCTTTTGCTCGCAACCTTCCTTTCGCTGTTTCCCTAGAAGCAGCGCCAATGGACATACACTAGAAGGAAACAATTTAGACTTTCGAAAGCAACTAGCTTGGGGAGTAGTTGCTCCTTGTCAGTGAAATTATTGCGATTGCAGCGAATCAGCGATAAAAAGCACAAGTTGTCATGGCAATAGCGAGAAGTTTTCGAGTGATTAGGAGTGGAATCAAAGAAGTATCACTACAATTTATCAATAATAAGGACAATAGCGATGATAGCTCACTTTCAGTACTATATCATTTACTAAATTACAAAGATTTCGTCACGTGATTTTAGAACTCAAGCTCATTGGAGTGTGAACATGTGAAGTTGTTGTGTCTGCTTAGTACATTCAGTACATCTCTCCATTAATCATTGTTCCCATGGCCGCTTCATCTATAAGCTGAGTTTGAACCCTTGGATTGTTGAACTATGCACAAATTGATTTAGGCTTTGAATATCAGTTTGTGCTTAGCTGCTGCGCTAATGGAATATGTGCCTTTTTATTCTATATATGGGATAACCGATTTTGAAATGAAAGTGTGGAAGGGATTGAAATTGTAATGTCATTGAAGTTATATTAGAAATAGCGAATGCACTCCCGTTAATGAAAACTCTTTTTTTAACGAAAGCTTATGGTGGTGGTGGCTTATGGAAGAAATCTGAGCCTCTGAGTCTGCGGCTTTCCTGTGGCTGTAATCATGCTGCTTTCTTTTATCCCTTTCCAGCTATTTCCTGTCGAAGTCAATTTTTGGAACGTATACAGGCAATTGATTTGGATAAACAATTTAGGTATAATCGAAATTCATCTGGACTTATCGAGAAAAAACCACCTTTTATTTCTGCACAAATCATAGATTTAGGTGATTGTTTTGTTTTTGTATGTCAGGCTCGCGCCAATGCTAGCGAAGTCCAACAAGACTTGCATGCAATAATCTTGTAGCCTTACAACAGCTTGCCAGAGAACTATAGGGCTTTTATATTTGTATAATCACTCAAAAGTTTTATATTTTCAAGTCGCTTCATCTAGACACTTTGAAGCCAACTTGTATCTTATCTTACCACTTGATCTCAACATAGTCCTTTAGGCCTAAAACATCCTTACGCGATTTCATTCGCTGCGCGATTTGGTACTGGAACGACTGTTCATAATGAATCGTCAGAGCGCTTAAGGCAGGACTTGATCGGTTTGCAACAAATCACAGAAGCTACGCTCCCATGTATTGGAGGACCATGCACAATAAATTCGGAGAAATCTGGCAAACTGCCAGGTCGCGTGAACGTCGCTATTTAGCCGAATCGCGCGAGGTATGCCTTAGGCCTCGGACAGAGTTCACGCGATTTGATCGTCGCGATCTTCATTCATTTTCATTTTACATTTAAAAATTTTGCCTTGGAAAAGTATCACAACCGAAATGCAAGTTGATCGGCATGCAATGAATTCGTAACAGTTGTCTTGTGGCGATTAAATCGCGACGATGAAATCGCGTGATCTCTGTCCGAGGCCTTAGGCCTTACTGTCTACATGCAAATGATCGCGGCTTACCATTATCGAGCAGGCTTTCGAACGGCCTGAGCCGCTATTTTTCCGACGGCTGGGTGTTTTAGTGGGCTTCAGGCAGATTCGCGTTCATCTTTTGATGTTTGATTTCACAATGTTTACCCCGAGAAGCTACATCCAAACGACGGCTGCATTCCGCTTGTTTGGATCGGCAGTTGTTTTATCAGATGTGATAAGGCCGAGAGCGGGGAAATGCGACTCGGTGAGAGGATTTGCGTGCCGATCGTGGGGAGAGAGAGTGCAGCGGCCGGACGGACGGGGAGGGCAGAGCGAAGGCGGCCGATGTCGTCACCGCGCTGGCCGTCGGCCAACACGTGGGAGAGAACTCGCTCCGCCCATAACTGGCTGTCAGTTCAACAGCACGGTGCCAAGTTCGGTTCGCCGTGAAATTCGCACAACTTCCACGAGTTCATCACTGCTCTTCCCACTTCTGCTAAGTGGTGTGATATGTTAGGGGCCACATCAGCACAGCCAGCCAACATGTGGAATCCGAACGCCTTCTGCAAGTATCTGTTCGAACCTGAGGAGGTAATCACACTCGTCATTTGTAGTCAGCAGTTCGACAGCACTGTACTCTCACAGTGAAATTAAAACTTTATTAAGCAAATTAGTAGCGTCACGGACGATGCCATTTTTTGCATAAATCACCTAATGCGAAACTTCTTCTCCGTTTATGATCTCATCGCATCCGTTCATGGTCTCCCTGCAAGTACTCCGTGATCGTACGCAACATCTAGCTTCATAACCCTAATCAAGTTCATTTTTAAGAATAAGACCATAGTTCTTATATCTGACTGAATCCTATCACTTGCAACACCTTGCCATTCCACTTAGCTGTGTTAGCTTGTAGCCCTTTTTTATGTTCTCTTGGCAATCGAATATATACTATTTACCTCATTCTGCTGTGTTGGTTCTATGGTAAGAGTTTTTCACGTTTCCAGAGCATTCTGGCATGGAAATTGCCTGCGGCAATGACGAATTTGTGCATTGGTGCTCTATGCAGTCACGTTCTCAGCACGAAAAAATGCCCTTTCCGCATTGTAATTTGTCTTTTCATTTGTTTGGAAAGGCGACAATTTTTTAATCTCTTCATGGCAAACCTTTTTCGATAATTGTTCAGAAAATCAGAACACTTAGTGAACTTGCTAGCATCATAAAAGAGCCATCGCTTTCTTTGTTCATATTCGTTTGAGCGGCAAAATTCGCAGGAACTTCATATTTTTGCAGTGATTTCGCGACACTGTGACTAGACGGCTGAAAGAAAATCTTCAGCGCTACCTGTTTATATAGGAGCTTCTAGTCTCAAATGAAAGATCCAAAAAATCGGATCATTGTAACCTTCAGTCGTGAAAGACTTTCCAGTTTTGGAAGTAAGTTACATGATTCATCGCACAGTTAAAATGTTGTATTTAAAAGGCACGCTCATTAATCTTGAGCGGGAAAAGTCCCGTCGAATGGTGCGCCGAGTTCGTGCGCATTCGCGGCGTCCTTGGCGCTGGTATCTACCTGCTGATAAGGCGATGCTAGGAAGGTCGACGCCAGACTGCCGACACTTGAGAGGGGCCAGGCCGACGCCGGTCGCCCAGCATCTTCGCGGGGATCGGCGTTTTGCTCGTTCCAGCACGGTGGTCTTCTCGCGAGGTGCCGCGGCGAGCGCGCTGCGAGTCGCTGAACTCTAGTGATTGGTCGCGACCGACCGCCCCCTCCCCGACCCCTTCTCCTACATTCTATCAGCTGTTTGTTTTCGCTCCCCGCTGGTGGCGTTGTCATCGGCGTTTTATTCTCGCCATCACCGCACGCGGCAACACTTCGCGTGTGGAGTGCACTGACAGTCGCTACATATGAATATCTCCCACTTTTACGATGACGAACCCTACGAGGCGAACGTGCTGAGTCTCCGCCACGGTGCGACGCAAGTGAGTACACAAGGCGTTCTCATTCTTTTGCACTCGAACGCTGTTCTTCGTTATCAGTGTTCGTTCGTGCTCTTGTGGATTTCTCTGCAACGGGAGCACTGATCGATAGCGCTGATCAATCCGTCGGCACTCAGCCGCTGTGTGCTCTGTTTAGTTGAATATTTGCCGAGATAAACTTCGTTCGGTTTAGTGCTGCGAAAAGAGGCTTATCATATTTGCACCCTCGATAGTCACCGAATTAACTCACTATCGTCTTCCCATTTGTTCCATCGAGTAAGCGAAAACATTCACCTGCAGTGCATAAGTGCAGCTCGCTATTTACTGTACTGTGAAAGGATTTCCAAAACAATATTTTTGCCATCTGTCTCAACCCTTACAGTTATCGTCACAAAACTTTTTGATTATATGAGAGTCTCTCTACCCCATAGTTTGCTTAAGTGGCACGCCTATGCGGTGATTATCATAGGCTCCAGTACACGTATTGACTCGTCCTTTGCCAATTACTCAAACATGAACTTTACAAACTTCCAAGCCTACTGTCGTATCTCAAAGTGCAGTCATGTCGGAGAAAACCTGTCTGAAAGAAGACCTTTGTCGAGACATCGATCGCAAAAGTACAAAAATTTCTTGAGCAGTGTCGTATCATAGTTTACATTTGAAAATTTCGTGGAAAATTTGCGGAACAGTTTTTTTGTAAAGTGGTAATCTCTCCGTAGTAAATTGTTTTGCCCATTTATTGAGCCTATTGCGTATTTTCAAAGCTTGAGCATCGGTACTAAAGTAAAATTTGGTACTGAAAAGAAGTTTGTATGCGCTAACCTTTGGGAAATATGAAAGAAATTTAGTTGCTCAAATCTGTCGAAGCTTGTATAAATTCTTCAGCCCCATTTTCTAGATATCAATTTCAGATGGAGCGTCGGGAATCAGGGTCATTGATGGCCCAAGCGCAGCGAAATAATAGTGGGCCCTTTGGAAACGCTGCAGGGCATGGGATGGGTGCCCCGCCCAGTAACAATGTAACGTCATCGAGAAAAATGCAGCATCCATTTCAGGTGAGCCCGTCGTCTCTCATGCATACCCTCTCTTCATTTTCCTTTCTAACATGTAGTTTTGGAGTTGCAGTCGCTCAACCTTACACGTAGTTTCTTCCTTTGATTTCTATCAATTACTTTTGTATATTCTCGTGTGCTGACTCATTCTACAGCAATTTGCTGCGATGCTCTATTTCGAGTTCAGCCAGCGTTTTCTCGCCGCCTGATGGGTCTTACACACAGTGTCTCGGCCGTACTCGTCAGGTGATGAGACGTCGCTTGGCGGACTAAAACTTGTTTACCTGGCTGGCCGCCAATTCGACAGTGAAAATCGCGTCGCATGAATTGATTTATTGCGGGTCGCTTGCTCTGTTTCGCGCTCAATACATTACGCGTTTCGAAAGTAAGCAGTTGACGTCATTATGAAATATGATAAGCTCATTTAGTATGGATACGTAGGAGTTTGCGCAACGCCGCGTTTTCTATCAGTGCAAGATAAGCTAGCGCTTTTTCATCAGTCATATGCTTCTAAAATAAGTCTTGAGGTGTTGTTCTATGTTCATTTATGGATGTGTTGTTGATATAGCACATTGGATCGTCTTTTTCTTTTTGCGTAGGTGTAAAATCGCGCAGTGTATCTACGATTCATCGTTCCATCTCTGTGCGGAATTTTCTGAACATTTTTTAAAAGTTTTTATCAAGGTTGATCTGATCGGACTCAATAAAAGCAACTGTGGAAAGCTTGCGAAACGTCATCATGACGTTTAGCACACAGCGCACTTTCATCCCCTTTATTCAGTGATTTGAAAACCCATTGATTTTGATAACCTGTTTTCGTGATATATAACAGCGCTGACCTGATTCTATGCACTTTCAACAACAAACCTGGTTGTTTGTGCAATAGTGACGTCATTATTTGCCAACACACGAGGGAAAGCGCACGCTGCGAGTGTTTCATGTTTTCGCTTCGCTCGTCACATTCAACGGGAAGGGTCTTGTTATTTTTACTATACAACGCTACCGCTCACTAGCAAGTATTATTCGGATATACGAAATGGGAGAAGGATTCGAAACGTTGGGGATGTAATCAGCGAATTTACGTCATGTGGTTAGAAATCAACGATGCAGGTGCAGCGAGAAATTTCTATCGAAAACATGAAAAATGATGTTTTTGCTTGCTTATCGATCTATAAGAATCTCGCATCTATAAGATAGAGAAAATAGGAGGGGATACGCCATCGCTATTGAACTCCTGCAAACTAAAATTCTAGAACGACTTGCGGGGGGTCACCCGGTTGCCAATCAGTGCTCTAACCTTATTAGAGCTGGTGCGAATTAGCCGAGAGGAGGGTAGAAACCTTTCTGAAGGGCGGCTCTGATGGCAGCGGCCATAGCGCTGCCTTATACCATTATGTGAGTTCTCCAGAATCTTCGGTAAATGTCATAAACACATTTCAATTTTCCTTTAACACGTTTCGGACCGGTGCTGCACATGGTGCAGCACACCGCTTTGAAGGATCTTTCTGGCGTTTGCAGGAGGTTTCCTTTTAGTCCAAAGTTGTTAAGTCAAAAGTCTAAGCTCCTACTTTTCAAATGACTCTGTAGAGTTATGCCGTCCATTTTGTTTAGGAGATATGAGCACAAATCGAAAAACAGTTGCAACGGCGGCGACGCGAACGACGCGTGCGACGTCGCAAGTTTCCTTTGCTTCGATATCAAATAGAAAAACCGTAGTTTCAATACTGATGTGTACCGTGTACGACATAGATACTTTTGAATACTATTAGAATCTGAGTTCTTGTTCCTTTCTTTCAAGAAAGCACAAAAGTCCCTCTCAAGCGACAAAATTCAAACACTTCGAAATCACTCAGAACTTTGGATATGGAGCTTATCTGACATGATGATTACAAATTTGGCCCACATGCTGCAAAATAAGGTCCCTTTGCAGGCTAACGGGCGAAAGTACACTCTTTTTCGCCGCGCGCGATTTCGCGGTCCGAAACGTGTTAAAAAAATGCTCCTTACATCCTATATATTCCTTTTTCACGAAAGCGCAAATCTACAGGACTCATGCAGTATTGTGAATCCAAACGGCTTACCTTTTCATACATTACAAAGTTAATCATTTCGTATATAGAAGATTAATAAAGGCTAAGTATGGTAATACACTTTTTGCAGGTTAAATACATCTCTACGTTGGTGTTTGCAAAAGGCATTTTCCATAAGCAGAGAACTCACTAGTGAGAACTAATGAGATTTCGCTCTTCATTTCAGACTTTCTGCAATGCGTAGAACAGATAGGGCAGTACTTCAAACTGTTTGCTTTTTCCACTTATTTTCTGCATAGTTGGTAAAAAACCCCAAGATTTTGAGCCCATCGTTTTTGGCTTGTGTAAACCTTTCCCGCTTTTTTGAAGGGATTTTTTCGAAAACGATTCAAAATAAAAACTGCGTAAACGGCGATGCTAATCCTTGGAATCTGTAAGCTTTGAATGACTTAACTATCAAATCTCGATTTTGCAACGTAAACGTTTGCTTTAAGATATCACCAATTAGAATTTTTGGATACAGGTACGCGAAAACTTTGATTACCAGCAATAAATAAAAGATTTAATTGGAAACCATGAATGCTGAAAAAGAACAATGTTGAAAAAGAGAAAAACCGCGTACTGCGTTAGGACCTCTAATAGACTTGTCTTCATCCGATTTGAGAACAGGTCCGAAAACATGCAAAGCTCTCAATACCTTGACTCACCCCAGTAGTCGTGGGGTGAGTCAAAAGTACTGACTTTGAGAGTGAATGTGTAGCTGTGTAAGCTTTATAATCATACTTTCGTTCTGTTATCAGCAGGTCGACGAAGTAGAGTGCGAATCTTGATTTGTTGATTCAATAGCGATCAGAGTAGCTTGCTCAGATCTGCGTCTCTGTGCTACATCTTTCACTATTGATTGAATACCGGATGTGATAGATTATCGCGAACACTGTTAAAGTATCGCCGGCAGCTGAGTGGGTTGCTGGTGCAGGTTTTTTTCGTTTTTAGGGAAAAGGTTGCAGTGGAAGAAGTCAGCTGCAATAAAAATTATAACGCCATTGTGCATCAAAAGTAGAGGGGAGAATTTGTGACTTTTTGAGATTTATCGTTTTAGCAGAAAAAATCCTGGGTAGCATTCTTGCTTGTTATCCTTGGGAGCGTAGCCAGAGCAGTCAAGTGTGACCGTAAACTGTCTTATCGTTTATGTGGGTGGCGATGATAAGCGTAGTGCTGTGCTTGTCGTCAAACACGGGCCTTATTAGCTGACAGCACAAGGTCATTTCTAAGGAAGCGGAGCATTTGAGAAAAGCGTAACAAATGACTTATTCATTGCTGCCTGTAGGTCTTTGTTACTTGGTTTCAGTGACTATTTACTTGTCGTAATTTCTGATAATTATACGGACATTTGGGCCTATTCGAAGTCCATACTCCACTAGTTGTAAAGTTCTTTAGTTTAGGGTTTTGAAACCGTTTGTAAAACTTTCCAGTATCAAAATCCAAAAATTGAATGTGATGGCACGGACTCTGCTTTCATGCCATATGTTCTCATTATTTTTTGCACATATTCATGTTGCCCTATGAATTTTACAAAGAATCGGGGGAATAGCATGACCATTTAAATGTTTCGGCTCCCTTATTTTGAATGCGAGTACTGGCGAAACGAAAGGATGAGATGCTTGAGAAGAGACTTGTCAGAGTACATAGTCTTCCATATTAGTTCACTTCTCTTTTTTTTCGACAGTACCGGTTTTTCTTGTTTGAGAATGGGATCTGCGAATCGAAGAGCGTTGTTGGTCGATCGATAGAGCGCTCGCCGCTGTTGTCTTCTATCATCATCTTTTTTCCCTGTTTATCTTGCTGGCCCAGCGAAGTGTTGGAATATTTTCGCATGCTAGAGAACGCAGCGATTGTGGGTAGCAAGTATGCCTCAGATTTTCTGCCTGCTGTGTGTACAGTGGATGAATAGCATAGAATAATCTTATCGTACTTGGAGGCCCCCATCCATCCACCACAAATCACTCATCAGTCTCGTCTCATCTCTACTCGTCTATCCTGTGTTAGGCCCCGGTCAGACTTCACGCGACTTAATCGTCGCGACCAAATCGCCAAGATTTCCATTCATTTTCATTTCACATTCAAAAATTTCGGTCTGGAAAAGTATCACAACCGAATGCAAGTTGATCTGCATGGAATGATGTTGTAACAGTTGTCTCCTCGCGATTCAGTCGCGACGATCAAATCGCGTGAAGTCTGCCCGGGGCCTTACACTTCCTTAATCTCAAATCATCCCTTCGGTGCTTACGTTCTGACCAGTGATCAAGTTTCTGCAATAGTGTTTCCTGTGTGTTTATTTGTGGTAACTGCCGTCTAGCCGCTTTCAGCGAGGAGGGAGTGGAAAGCAGAGGGAGAAGGGGATGTGAGCCACGCCCTCTCTCCTGAAAGTGGCGTACCCCGTTGTTGTTCTAGTCCCCGCGGTCTGCATACTGAATATCACCCGCTCTGTGAGAAAACAGCACTCCAGTGAACGCAGATCTCTCGTACGTAGGTCTGTCGATGACTGTCGATTCGGCTGTAATAGCGACACCCAGTCGACGTGCTTTACCACCTCGTCGACGCTATATTTCTGCACCGGCCGCTCGATATTCACCTCCTGATGATCGAAAAATCAATCACTGTCGGAGACCCAAGGCAACACTGTCTTTCTCAAACTCAAAAAACGTTCCTGTTCGTAGATACATCACTAGACGACCCATCGCACTTGCTCAGGTACGGGAGTAAATGAGTGAAAATCAATATCGTTTGTTCTTCTCTGCTACCCGTGCGACCATTCTTTAGCAAATATGTACGAGTAATTCGATTTGGAAGGCGTGTTGCGATTGTCACAGAACGTGTTGACATAGGCAACTATTTATAGCTGTTCGCAATCCGCTGTCCGAGTGTTGTGCCATGTTTTCAATACATTTGGCTAGCTGTAGATGTACTGGACTGTAATTTTTATTGATCGCCTTCATAGAAATACAAATGTGATAATATCGGTAGTGCTGCGTTTCTCCCCTTAAACAGCAGTGTTCGTCGCATTTATCAACACATTGTCCAAATTCAACCTTTTCAGAATCAACGCCACTCTCCATCTATGGAAGGCGCAGATCTGCATCGTTTTGGTGACAGTCCACGAAGCGGTTCCTTCAACCAGAGCGAGGTATTGAATTCCTAGATACGCATGTTTCCCAGTGGCATTTTTTCTGTTCTAATTGTTCTTTTGTCGTGCTGTTCGCATAGTAATTGCATGTATGGCAATGTCCGTGTCCTGCACTCTTTTCCTCAGGAATAATTTGACCGTTAATTACCCCCGTTCCGCTTGTGGTGTTACTTTCGCCATGGTGAATTGCGTGCGAACCCATGTGTACAGGAACATGGTTTCACCACGAATCTGTTTGTAACTACTAGAAGATTCTCCCCTTCATTGTGCTCTGCAAATTTGTCACCTCCTGAGCTGTTTTGTTGGTCTCACATCTATTCGTGATATATCCAAACAGCTATGAGAACCTGTTCGATAGGATCTTCTTCAGTGAAAGAATTTAGTGCATGCAGTGCGCTCCGTCGCTGAAACAAAAACGAGAGAAATGGTCATAGAGTTCACATATGAAATTTTTTGGGACATCAGAGAGCTGCTGTAGATCGGTAGATGAATGGCTCAGGCTATTTTTCGCCGATAATCGTTGCAAAGTTCCACTTTATGAGTGTAGTGAGCGTAAATATGAAGTCTCATTTTTCAGAATTGAGTTTCTTTTGATGTGAGTACTTGCAGTAGATTATCATGTGTTTGCACCGTTTTTTCACCTGGTACCCCTATCCAACTGCAGATCATGTGCTCCCGTTCATGAAAAGCTTTACCAGGACAGTTAAATCAAACAGTTCCTTCTTCTTACAGCGGTGGCATTGGCTTTTGTTCTCGCTACTCTACTCTAAAATGTTTTGCTTTGCTCTGCCTGAGTTGTTGTCGTTTGTGGTCTTTTGCATGAAGCAACGATGAGGATAACTGAAACACGTTGCTTTCAGTTGTACGACGACTTGATCATAGACGAGATTCTATCACTTGAAGACGAGCAGAGAAGGACCAGCGGAAAGACTCAACCAGTGAGTGTTTTCCCTTGGTTTCTTGCTCTGCGTATTCTCTGCTTAGATCTCATGTTAGTCGCAGGCAGATTATTAGTACTTTCTGTTGGCTTTATTTGCTCTTCGTCAACAAACAATACATCCGAGTCTTGAGAACGCCATAATATTGCGGAAAAAAAGACTTTCCTCCCTGAAAATTGCTTGCAAAATTTGACTAGTAAATAGCTTTTGTGACCTTTTTTAGGTTTTGATAGATTTCTGTTGCTAAAGCTAGGTTTTTGGACTTTCCTTTATTTCAACGCAAATTTTTGCATAAGCTTATAATCCATTTCACGCTGACAAGTCATCTGAAAGCTCAATGTCAAATAGCTTCGATGGCTCGCTATTCGATTCATCATGCTTGGTCATAGGATGCCCGTTTTAGCGCATTGCATGCTGATTGTTTTCGAAGCCGACGTTTCGCGTCCAGTCGATTTGTCTGGTCTAGAAGGGAGACTGGAATGGACATTTGTATGCTGCTCTAAGTTTGTACTGCTTGTTTTCGGGTAATTTGGGCCGCTTTCGGACAAGTTTTGCAATTGGAATCTCAACCCTTACTGACTTGTTTTCCTAAATCAGCTAACTTTGAACTTGAACAAGGAAAGGTTGCGACAAATTTCTGATTAGACATTCAAATAATAATTTTGATGTTTGGTATCATTTCTTGCAAATCAAAGATTAAGTTACTAGTTGGCATAATAGAGCGTTCTTCTTCAAAATATTTTGACTTTGATATTCAACTGTTTTGTTTTGAGATATAGTCCGGATTCAATGTGGTGGGCTATGTCGCCTCGCGCAAATCTCACCGTCTCAGCATTTTAGCGCAATGGATCTTTTAGCGATCGCTGAATGTTTACGCATATCCGTATTCTGTTGTTGTCCCTGTTATGTGGAACCCCGTCTCGTTCAACGGCCAGTGCTCATTGATCCCTTGCCTTCAATTTCGTGTTCTCGCCAGGGACAGCATATGCGTCACGGCTTCTTTTGTCATAGTTATGTCTTGTTTACTATTTACAATGCTTAGTGTCGTTCACGGCTTACATGTTCTGTCGATTCGATTTTTCCCCATTCTACCGATTCAATAAATACCGCGCGTTCTTTCAATTCATTTCGGATAACTAGTACTTTGCGCTTGACCTGCACTTTCGTTGCCCTCGACCACTCAAGCTTTGGAAAACAAGCTTTTGTTGAAACTATCCAGCTGTTTATATGTATATTCACTAAATAAGCATAGCGACAACGTCATCAAATGGTTCCGTGATTTTTTGGAAAATTGGGAGGTGTCTTCGACGGTTTGATAAATATTCAAATGCACTCCGGAGACCGCTGCTTTTGATAAAATGGTACCATAGTATCTCCATGTCAAACTATGGGACATTAGAAGTGTTCGTTGACCTATGAATATTTTGCGTTAAAGCAAACAGATGCGAGTTTTTATCAGTTGAAGAGATCTTGATTTCCAATACATGTGCCAAAATTATGCGGACACTTTCATTTGCCCATCATTATCTTCCACTTTCTAAGTTTGAAAACGGATAAATTTTCTGGCAACAGTGCAATAGTTATCGCTACTTACACGAATGATCCATTGTCTCAAAATTTTTTATTAGCAAAAGCTCCAATACATGGTACATAACTAGCAGTGGCGTACTGAGGCCCCCCCCCCCGAGAATGGGTCGCGAAATTTTTGAAATGTGTTGCAAAATTGTGCACGCGACTTGTTTTTATTTGTAAATAATTAAAATAATTTTTGAAATTCAAATTAGCCTTGTAAAAATTTTTTTTGGGGGTGTGGCTGTCGCCACGCCTCCTTTTTCTAAAATTTTGGGGTCAGAGGGTCGCAAAAATTTTGGAAATCATCCCGAAAAATTATCAAATTAATTACGCTTCCATAGTCCATGTTGCTCAATAATTTTTTGGTCTTCGCAATCACCCATCTAACACGCATTGCAATTTACGCATAGAACATAATGCTCTAATCATCTCCTCTAATCATAACTCATCTGCCCTTGATTATTTTATCATCGCTACCAAAAATGCTTTTTATCAAGAAAATTTTTTCAGCTCTCCGGTAGCTACTCATGTGCGGACAATTTAACGCAACTATCAAACGCTCGTCCGATTCCTGGCGCTCAATCATCTGGTAAGCTTTTCTCTTCTTGTGCATTTCAAAACGTGAGATTTTAATTTTTGTCTCATTTTCATGTGCTCGCTCAATTAGAATTTGTGGAAATCGCAGTGAAGTGCTGTCTGACCCTGACTTTATTATCTTACCGGTGCAACTGTCTTCTTTAATGACGATGGAAGCCTATGCGCGCTGAGAACTTCCGTGAAATAAGCACATCTCTCGTCAGCTTGGCATAATTTATTTGCGCGCCAGTCTAGTCAATGATCGCTAACCCTTAGACATGACAAAACGTTTGTGTAGAGCGAAAAACAACACGTGACCAACAGTCGGATAACTTCGCTAGCGCGTTAGCTGACATAACAAGCATCACGGAGGAGGAAAGAAAGAAGCAGGACGCGATTATGAAGTTTCGGCGAAATTGTCGAGCTTTGACTTAAAGAGAAAGTTTCGGGAACGATGATGTTCGGCGACGACCTGACTTTGCACTTCCATTGTTACACAAACAAATGTAGTGATTTGTGTCGTGGCGATCTAGATCAGGGAACCCTCAAAAAGCGATCTTGATCATAAAACCCGCAAAGGGCGATCTGGATCATCGAGCTCGCGTCCGAAATTTTGCACTCCGTGTTTTCATTGTTTTAAGGATGTTTTGCGTCAAACATTCCGTACTCATATAAATAGTCACGTTACCAAAGAGGTTTAGGCGCTCTAGATACCAACAATTGCAAACTTAACTCATGAGGTTTTTGTTTCAAACTAAGTGTTGGTGCTACGATCATGTAACTTTCGTTTAATAATTACATGGATATGGAACTTGGTTTTTCAAATTCCAAACTTTTCTGATATCATATTCTTCTTACGCTCAATCGCTACTGCTTGTGCGAAAATGCTTGTTCCACACGGTCTGAAGGCTGTAAATCGAAGAGGTATTGTTTCCTCCTGCCTTCCCCATCCCTTTTGTACCTACTGTCCAATACAGGGAACTAAAAAGTGCACGCAGCCCTTGGTAAATCAATAGCTTAGATATGACACCGCACACATCAGTTTCAATTCCCATTTACAGGCTCTGGCCACTCCGGTAGCCCTATCACAATCGGCGGCACTGCCCTGGGATCAAACTTCCGTCAAATAGTATCCAGTTCTGCACCGACAAGTTCAATAGATATGGACGCGATGCTTATGCAGTCATCGCAGGAAGGCGGTGGAACCGGCGAAGAGTACTACCGAGATCGACGGAAGAAGGATATACATAATATGAGTGCGTAAATGAGCTTTTGTTGCTTTATCGATTGATTGCCCTTTATTGTAGTTGAACGGCGGCGTCGTTATAATATCAATGATCGCATCAAAGAACTTGGATTGATGCTGCCGAAGTCATCAGCAGAGTGAGTTGCATTATTCGCGTTATTCCCAAATTCTAATCAATCAATCTTCTCATGGTAAGTGAGAGTGCACAAAAGGTTGTTCATTCAACATCATTATATGTAATTGATTCCTCTTCTAGAGACATGAAGCTTAACAAAGGAACCATCCTGAAGGCGTCTTGCGATTACATTCGTCAATTGCAACGGGATCGCGAATTGATGCTGAAGCAACAAGCACATCAGCAAAAGCTTGAAAACGCTGCAAAGCAGTATGCGGAGCGGATTCGGGTTAGTGTGCGAGTTTACCCTTGGTAGCTTTTTTCGTTTGATCTCAATCAAGCATTGAAGACACAGTCAATCCAAGTTCTAGATTTCATGTTTTTGTCGTTCCGAGGCATTCTCATGTCCCTGATTCCGAATATCAAGTCGAGAGTACGCGAAAACCCCGACAACCCCTTTCCACTGAACCCGCAGGGCGAGTTCTTCAGAACGGTGATTGGTTGAGTGCACGAATGGGCTGGACGAACGCCCACTCAAAAATTCATCCGAGGCGATTTTTGAAGCAATTTTCTCGCTTCGGAATAGCAGCAGCGCGAGTTGGCAAGTGTACAGTTCCTCGCTACTGGGCGTTAAAATATCATCGAACTTATTTTGGGTGGATGGTGCCTTCAAGTCGAGTCATAGTTTTGGTACTCACCACTTAATGTGCAAAACATTCAGATATTGATGCGTATCACAATATTTTTTTGATATCATGCGTTGAGCCTTTGAGTACCTCCCTTTTTAGGAACTGGAGGAGTGCATGGCACGACAAGGCGTACAGCCTCCACCAGCTCACCTACCACCGCTTCCTCGATTTACCAGTCTAGATCGGCCAATAAAACAAGAGATGGACGAGACAGCTTCTCCAAATCATACGCCGTGTGGATCTCTTGTAAGCAGCATTGACTGATTACTCACTTTGTTTTCGCTATGTTTGCGTATTGCAGTCGTCATCTGGGTTCATGTCACAGTTATCCGATACAACAGCAGCCATGCAAATCGCCAGTCCTTTGAATAGACAACCGATGCAAGCAGCAACAAGTCACTCCGAGAGCTACTTTTCAGTGGGTTCGAGTAGTCCTCCAGAGTATGGTAAGTCTTTAGCTGCATCAGAATTTTTGTGGATCTAGCTCTGATCTTTTTTTAGGAACGCCACAGAACTGGCGAGATCACAACATGCAACAACCGTTTCCTGACCTCATGATGGATGATATGGCTACCCTTCAGGTGTGTGTTGGTTTTTATATTGGAAAAGAAGCGTTGGGACTTCTGACATAGTTTGCCCTTATGTGGTGAATGGGCTTTTTTCTTCTACATATACGCATGCTGAAGTGTTGAAACTTCCTTTGCAAAGTTTTGCTGACGAGAAGTAAAGCGGCTACTGAAGTAAAAATTAGCAGCAAGTTGAACAGTCTTCAGAAGTCTCAATTTAGGGAGGAAATCCTCTCCTTACAGGAGATCCGTTGATTTCTCAGGCCGGTACTCATCCTTCGCCTCATCTCACCGGTGGCAGTCAAATGAGCCCCGACATCCAGTGGGACCAGTCCGGCTTCAGCCCTGAAGGACATAACGGGCTGCATCAACAACATATGGACTTTTCCTGAGTGCGCTGTTCAGTGCATCGCAAAATTTCGGTCTAATGCAGATGTTCTAGTATTTTGATCATATATTTTTTTGATGTTGTATAGTTCCGCTCATTTTTTTCGTGTGTCCATACTGATATGTTTTATTTTGTTATAATAATCGGATGCTACTTTCTATCGACTTTGTGCCGTGATTCTTCATGCATTCTCGTTTCCTTGTGTATGTTCTTCGTATTGGTTATCGCTCGGTTGCGGACAGAGTCTCCTCGACTCCGTCCGATTTTTCTTCTCGGGTTGTACGGCAAGAACAATTGCTCGTGTGCATGTTGTCTATACTTGTCATCCCCGCGCCTTCGCAGTGCGGTTTTGTTTGATTCATTGTTTTTGTGCATACTAAAGTTGTACAGCTGTGTCACTAGGAAAGCTGAGTTGTATAGGCACCGTTTAAGATTCCGAAGTGCGACGCGACTCGCCACCCTGATTCGTCTCTGCTTTTGTCTTCTCTTCGCCATTCACCCAGGGATTTCCCTTAGCATTCATTCGTTACTCACCTTCTAACATATTCCAGGTTGCCTCCATGTTGCACAGCTCCCATGTACAGTCCCCCTTGTGGCATATGCGCGACCTCTTTGTTATGCGCTATCCTTGAGATTGTTCCGATGTACAAGTGTAAATAGTCTCTCAACAAATGGCGTTCCTTTAGGGCGTTTTCATGCACGGCTCTAGCCGATCTTTATCTCCGAGTTTTTCTCACTGTCGTTCTTCTCATTTTTGCTGAAAACTGACTTGCTTACACCGCAGTTTCCGAATGAATTCGCTGGTTGTTGTAAATATAAAGGAAGCTGCATAAATCGGTTATCAGGAAGTGGTGAACGCTGGGCTGAGAAGGTTCTTTCCGTACGTTCCCATCTAGAATGCTACGGACGATCATCAGTACTCTTATTAGAGGAAACAGTGGATATACGTAAAATGCGTCGTCCAGAATGGAGTTGGGGACTAGTCCGATAGGATCCACCCCGCAGGATCAGCAAGTACAAATCTGTAGTGTGTGCAGCTGCGTGGTCTGTCGCAGATGTCCACGTAGGACCACCCTTGCGGCGACTTAAAGTCCTTTACCCCTCCATAATGAAAAGCCTGGTATGAGCGTTACTATCACTTCCAAGATTTCGAACTAGAGACTTTCGTAAAATACTCGCAAAGTAGCCAAGTCGTCAACCACGCGGACTGGTCGTGGATTACGGAGCAGAGCGCAGCCGGAATCTCACAATCAAACGCTACCGTCCGGCGACCGTGCGACGACCGTTTGACCGGGACATTCGCCAGCTGGACGCCGGGCGGTCCGGCACTCTCACCGGCTGGCTGCCGTGGACCGTTGGATCATCGCACACATATCGACCGGCACAGTATATATTTAGAGAAATTCGGGATTTTTCCGAATATTTGAACATCGAGTAACCAGCCGCTCTCTGCCGCTACGCGGCATGTTCAGCTGGTACTGCAGCTTCAGTGCCTCGTATATCTTTCGTTCCACTCTTATTGCGCAAATGTGCTTTTGAATTTGTTAGTTTGCGCGAAACCTTCGGTTTAACCTATGTAGATCGAGGATATGGAAACACAATTTTGGTTTCTCAGTCAAATTTGACTAAATATTCTAAGCAACAGAAAGCGCAGTCAACAACACAGAAGGGTCCACATGTGCTCCATGCTATAGGGTGAAGCATTCAAAGCAGATACAGTAAGTGAGGTTGGCGTCATGGTATGAATAAAAGGGGGAGGGAATATAAGGGGTCATTGGATTAATATAGTGGTCATGTTTGATATTGTGGGTGAAAGGTATCTCTGATTGTGCCGATGAGTTTGGCTGGTCGATAAATTCCACTGAGAAAGGGATTGATGCGTAGTCAAATATCAGTCAGCTATTGAGAGTGTTAGATACCAAAAATTAATGAATAGATGGAAAAATTCAATATTGAACAATAGATATTGTATTTATAATAACCATCTCTACCTATCCCATCCTTCCCGCCAATTTTTTTGGCCCAAAAGCGCAAAGAAAGAAAAATTAGTTGATTGATTTATCCTATATCAGTGGGAATAGCTTATTAACAAAAGACCAGTTCAAAAGTCTATGTATGCGAAGTTTGGTTCAGATCTCATAATTTTTTCTAGCATTCTGGGCCAGTCATAGCAAAATTGCTACCCTATTTTCAGGTGTATAAACCGCACCCTTTTTGCTCTAAACGCGAGCAGACCCAGGCGTGCCGCCACGCATGTGTCTCGCGAAGCGGTCGCCTTATCGCATACTGCTCTCGCTTAATGCGCTCCATGATGAAAGTCAGTCTTTTGGCATGTTCGCTTCTTTTAGAGCGAAAAGGGTGCGGCTTGTACATCTGAAAATAGGGTAATTGTAAACAGAAAACGCCTTTAAGAATTGGAAGCGACTATTTTCGACTATTAGTAGACTATTTTTGGTAAAAGGTTAGCGACACCCGTCCGCACTAAACTCACTATCTGAAATTTGGTCTAGAAAATAATTTACTCAATCATTTTGGGCCGGCAAAAAATTTTCAAGCAAAAACTAAAAAATTAATTAATCGATGAATTCAGTCGGTGTCTTTTAAACAAAACAATTGTAAACACATGCCTTGCATCAAACGCGTAAGTGAAATGGGCTATATCCCTCTTGTCTTGCTATGCTGCCTTTTGAAGCCGAATCTCAATAAAAACAATTGAAACGCGCAGCAAGTTGCCGCAAAAGGTAGGATATACTACCCTTCAATGTTCAGAATGCATGCGTCTTTAGACTGAGTCAAAACTTCTTCTATTATAAGTGGTGAAAAAATTGGCTGAGCAAAAATCGAAAGGATCAATAAATCAAAAAAGGCTACCTATGTGTCCCGAATAAAAAGGCTTAATAACACATTCCGCACCTCATGCATTATGTCTGCCAAATTTGCTTCAAATTCCATAGCTCCTTCCATTTTTTTAGGGCGAACATACAAAATTTTCTAAGCAGAAACTGCAAAAAATCAATAAATCTATAGAGTCAAACGGTGGGTCCCGAACAAAACCGAACAAAATGGCTTATTAACACACGCCTCGCTCCATACATTAGGTCTGCCAAATTTGGTTCAGATCCCATGACTCCTTCTATCCTTCTTGAGCGAACATACAAAAGAAGCCAAATATTATATAGTATTGTTATTCGAAAATCGAAATTCTCTAATATTTGGCTATCGCATATTATTCGAAAACTAGCTGGCTTACCCGGCTCCGCCGTATCCGGACCAAACTTGGCACACATACACTTCGGGCCCCGGCGGGTGTCACAGTCCACTTTTCGTTATCGATCGATGTCGATTTTATCGATTTTTATCGATTTTTTTGCTGAGTTCACCTACGGGGCTGGGAGTTGGCACAGGGGGGTAATCGAGCATGGGGATTCCGAATACAATATTAGTTCTCAGAATTATCGATTACTTTTATTGATTTTATCGATTTTTTGTAAATTTTGACATGCGAGGCTGGGATTTTGCACAGGGGGTAATCGAGCATGCTGATTACGAACACAATATTAGTTTTCAGGATCGTCCATTACTTTTATCGATTTTATCGATTTTTTTTGTAAAGTTTGACCTGCGGGGCTGGGAGTTTGCACAGGGGGGGTAATCGAGCATGCAGATTACGAATACAATATTAGTTTTCAAGATCGTCCATTACTTTTATCGATTTTATCGATTTTTTGAAAATTTGAGCTAGGGGGCTGGAATTTGGCACAGGGGTGTAATCGAGCATACTGATCACCCCCTTGGGGATGATCAGCATGCTCGATTACCCCCCTGTGCCAACTCCCAGCCCCCTAGCTCAAACTTTGCAAAAAAATCGATAAAATCGTTAAAAGTAATCGATAATCCCGAAAACCAATATTGTATTCGGAATCCCCATGCTCGATTACCCCCCTGTGCGAACTCCCAGCCCCGTAGCTCAAACTTTGCAAAAAAATCGATAAAATCGATAAAAGTAATCGATAATCCTGAAAACCAATATTGTATTCAGAATCCCCATGCTCGATTACCCCCCTGTGCCAACTCCCAGCCCCGTAGCTCAAACTTGCTGCGGTAGCCGCAGTTTTAAAGGGGGTGTGCCGCACCCCGTTAACTATATCAAAAAAACATTTTTAGCAAACCTTATTTATATGGATCGATAGCCTAGATCTCCTAGTTTTCACAGAAGTGAATTGAGCCTGATTCGTCTTCTTAGCTCTGAGTAATATTTGGTGAAAGCACAGCGATCAAAAGCGAAAAATGGGAAAAACGAGATTTTGGTTGGCTTCTAATTCCACAGTTTGGAAGTCTTCTCAAGCGGGATTCCTGAGGTGGACAAAGAAGGAGTAGTGCTTTGTCTTGAGTGCAAAAACGGATAGCTAATTCACCTTTGAAACAAAGTTAACTATGTTGGAATTTGACCATTTCACTTAGGTAGCCTAGTATCTTGAATCTTCAGAATTCGCTACTTTGTCTACAGGGGTTATTTGACATGCTAATTATGGATAGGATACGCATATCATGTTATCACTATTATCAGATTACCCAACTACGACTCCCTCCCCTTTTGACTCCTCAATACGACCCCCCAGGTGTGGCGTGCCGCACCCCACGCTTGACTCTGGTCCCAACAGTATGTAGATCTATGTGCTGAAATCAGCTTAAACTTACATTATGAAGCGATTTAGCGATGGCTTTTTCACTGTGTAAACTTACCGGAGGAAATTGAAGAGGGCTCTGAAACATCAAGAGCCGTTTCTCCAGGAAAGGGAATCAAGAAGGCCGAAAGTCTTACATTAGACTTCTAAAGACACCATATATAGAATTTGCACTCAACCGTAATGGTTTCTTTACTATGCCAGATAATCGTAACAAATGTTTTTGGTCGCCTTTCAGAACGTGATTGCACATTTGAAAAGCTTAACTCGTGCGTAGTAAAATCAGCATAAGTAAAAACTCTGCTGCACAATTAAATCTTTTTTTTTGGGGGGGGGGGAGGGAGGGGGGGGGAGGGAGGGGAGAGTTCTTTTGTTTTATTTCGCAGTTGCTCTATTATGTGCTGGAAGTTTTTACCGTGATAACACAACAAGAAAAGCATGGGTGATTTGCTTGCTGTGTTTATAAGCTGAAGCGATCCCTACAGGACGTTACGCAAAGTTTGGCAAGAGACTTTGTTAGAGGTATTAGCTATAGAACAGTGTGTAGATTTGGGACACGCCGTATATGTTGTGGATATCGAATTTCCGAACAGTCAATTTTTATCAAGTTTTCGAATATTCGGTGCTCATCGAATATTCGAGAGAAATCGAATGACCGAATCAATGACGATCGAATATTCGACTATCGAATAATATTCGAAAGTCGAGATTTCCGAATATTCGACTATCGAAATATGATTCGAATTCTCAGATTTTCGAATATTCAAGTTTTCGAATCATTCGTTCGAATGATTTATTCGAATAATCGACGCTCATTCGATTCGGTCCAAAGTATACTGCCTATGAGGGACCAAAACGTCTAAGGCCCGTATGCACGTACATACCCGCGGGGAGTGGAGGGGATCTGAGAGGGGAAGCGTCTTATCTCGCTAGTCTATGTACCTTTCTTCTTCTTTCTCTGTCTTGGCTTTGAAGGTTCTCATACACTGATACTTGCACATAACGGATGCCAGGTTACTGCCATACAAGATTAGATATTCACTATTTTGTCTGATCCCCTGGGGATCCCCAGGGGATCACCTCACATTTTCAAAGTTATTTATCTTTCTGAAAACTCGATGAAATGTTCTAAAATTGTACTGTGGATTTACTACAGCACTGCT